GGGAGATGCCAAGAGAGAGAAGCCTATACTTTGAGGGTGGAAGCCCCTCCCACAAGTAGGCTGGAGCTTCCAGGATAGAGAGAATAAGGGCGTTACCTTCAGGGAGCTTGACTGGCATAACATCCAAACAGCAATACTGGGAAGACACTGAAATATTTGAAACCATAATTCAGAGGAGTGGCTAACCGAAGTTTTAAACCTGTTCAACTGGTTGTCTGCAGGTACCAGTTTGTTGAATCTGGAATACGGGGAGGGAGAACTGATTTTGAACAGAACCTACAGAAGTATATTAGTAGCCTAGAAGGCAATGAATTTCAGAAGGCTAAAATATTCAGCAGTGGATAAAAGAGATAATAGATGTCAATATACTTTAAGATATTTTGTATTAAATAGGACTTTTTAAAAGGGGTTGCAACAATTCAACAAATACTTATTGACTACTTCCTACATGCCAGGTTCTGGGCTTGGCATCGGGTGCATAGCAGCAAAGCAACCCCTTTGGCTAACCTAGAGTAAAGGTAGGTGGAATATCATGGTTACTCGTGTAGTTCATCTATTGTATGAGGCTGGCCCAGCATGAATCAAAGACAGACACCCGAACAGGCTGTAAATGATCTATACTCTTCCACTTGATACTTCTTGTTCAAGATCCTTCTTTCCAGGATCTCAGAAAAATATTTAAAAGATTTGTATCAATTCCTCATCTCCAGCATATATTTGGAGCTCTCTTTAATGACCTTTCCCCCTCCCTATTAACATTATGCCAATATTCACCATTACTACCTTCTTCTGTTGAGTTTCGCATAAGTTTTGATTAGTTAGAATGGTTTTGCAATAATGCTGAGAAATTGTCTTTTTTTCTAACTTTAATAGATGCTATCTACTTAATGCCAGGACAGGAGTAATTGCTTTACACATTGCAAAGTAGATATGATTATTTTCCATTTTACAGATGAGGAAACTTGGAGATGTTAAGTAATTTGTCCAGAATATCAGAGGTTAGTGCCTGCCTTTCCTTCTGCAACACGCTGCGCAGCATCTTAGGCAACGGTCCTTGAGGGCCTCCCTTTGAGGATGAGGCAGCAGTGGGACAGTGAGGCCGGGGTGCTCTGCAGACATTTGCTGCCCAGTGAGGAGGAGCTAAATCTGTCTCAAGTTGGAGCATTATGTCTTTTCTTAGCTTTATACCTATTTTTAAGTTACCAGCTTTTTGCTGGGCACTGTTTGAGGTCCCAATTAATAATAGGTCAGGTTTAATAATAATAACAGTAATAATGAACTCATTTATTTATATTTTATTTTGTGGCAGAAAGAGAATCAAGCACTTTTCATGAAGCAACTCACTTAATTTTCACAACAGTCCTACAAAGTAGGTATTTTTATTACCCTTATAGGTAAGAAAATGAAAGTGCAGAGAGATGAGGTAACTTACCTAAAACCGCACAGCTAGGAAGTGATAGAGCTGGAATTGAAACCTGACAGAATGACTCCAGAGTTTGTCATCTTAACCATACCGTACAGACGATCATCAAGAAAATCACAGGAGAGAGGAGATAGCCAAGTAAACAGACAAATGCCATGAATGGTAGTAAGGACCGTGATTGAGGCACGTACAAGGCACTGTGGGGTTTTGAGAAAAGCTAGACCTAGGGAGAGAGGGAGGAGAATTGTCGACAAAGAATGCAGAGAATAGAAAATAGATGTAGGTATTCATATTTTATAGGTGAAGAAAGAGAGGCACAGAGAGATTAAGTCATTTGCCCATTTGCAACTGCTAAGGTGTTAGAACAAGGATTTGAACTCAGGCAGTCTGGCACCAAATTCTGTGCTCTTAGTCCCTGTATTGTGATGAGAGAAAGATAGTGAGCTAAATTTCAAGAATCTCAAATTTTAGATGACTGTGGAGACATCAAATGGCAATTTCCTGTAGGCAGTTGGGCACATGATCCTGGAGCTCAGGCTGGAGATCCAAATTCCACTGCCAGCTCAAGCTGGCACAGAGAACTTCCACAACAAGAGAGCAGGAGCAGGCACTCGCTGTGTGGTCATTTTTTGGGCTCCATGTCCTCAATATCCTAAGCATATTAGAAGTATGAACATTAACAATTGATTTTTAACTAGATGCTTAATGAAATTTTAATAAGCACTGGCTGAAACCATTGGGCATCAATTGAGGAGAGAGACTGTGCTTATCAAAAATGACTCATTACCTTAGATTCTTTCTGGAATAAGGCAGTGGGATGATTAGGTAGATAAAATATATATCTAGGACTCTTGCTTGTCATATGATTCTGGATACAACAAGGAGATAAGCCCTGATATGGAAAAAGGTTGGCAGAATTAGTGAGAAAAAGCTGGCCTCAAGGTGTAGGAAATAACCAAATTAAATGGGCTCCTTGCAGGCACAAGTCTACTGTGGGCTAATTTGTTTCCTGCAAAAAGGAAAAAAAAAACCCTCAACTCATTTTTGTCCTCTTAAATTTTAAACAGACACTGTGTAATTGCACTTCCCTTCTCTTAAGATTGTTTTGCTTGGGCAAGAAGAGAGTGGAGGGTGAGAGCAAGAGCAAGAGCTAGAGAGAGAGAGAGAGAGAGGAGAGAGGAGAGAAAGAAGAGAGAGAGAGATAGGAGAGAGACAGAGGAGAAAGAGAGAGGAGAGAGAGAGAGAACATGCACGCAAGCCCTGGGCTCCATCTTGTTGCTTATCAGGGATGCCCTTAACATCCCACCTGCCAGGAGATGGGTATGTTTCATCTAAGAATCTCCTCTTTGAAATATCAGTGCTTACCCTTTTTCTGAGGAAAATTCCAACTTGTTTTCTTTCATCTCTGACTCCGTTATGAGAAGCTATAGTTTAACTGTACTTAGTGGATCAATTGATTAAACGTTGACCTCATTTGCTGGCTCATGCCAGACAGGATATAGAGAAAGCACGAAACCTCTTTTTCCAGGCCACGTGCTCATGTTTTCTCCATCCCTGCAGGACGTTCATTCATTCACCAGATCTTTGCAGGCACCATATTATAGGTCAGGCACTGTATTAGTGCTGGGGAAATGACAAAGAAGAAGTACAATCTGTGGAGGAAGACAGGACCACAGGCTGTTGCAGTGCCGTATGGAAAGTACTGCAATGAGAGTAGTCATAGGGCTCCATGAACAGACATACGGGGGCATGAAACTAAGATTTGGAGTATCAGGGAAAGTTTCCCGTGGGCGGGGGTGATCATGAAGCAGAGACCAGAAGGCTAAGCAGAAGGTAGTCAGGCTGAGGAATGGTACAGGGCTCCAGTCTATGAAAACAGCATGTGCTAAAGTCTTGAGGCTAGAAACGAGACGGCCCATGGAGTCATACATGGTTTAATGTGCCTAGAAAGTGTGAATAGGGAAGAAGGAAAAAGGAGGCTAAGTGGTAAGAGAGATAAGGCAGGAGAGGTTAACAGAAGGGTTTTGATGTCGGGCCCTATCATAAGCCTAAGGAGTTTGCCTTTTACTCTGATTGAAATAGGAGCCATTAACATGGTTTAAGCAAGGGAATGGCAAGATCAGATGTGCATTGCAGAAATACTGTATTGATGTGGATAATGACTTAGAGCAAGCTTGTCCAACCCGGGGCCTCAGGGCCGCATGTGGCCCAGGACAGCTTTGAATGCAGCCCAACACAAATTCATAAACTTTCTTAAAACATTAAGAGATTTGTTTTGCGATTTTTTTTTAAAGCTCATCAGCTACCATTAGTGTAATTTATGTGTGGCTCAAGACAATTCTTCTTCCAGTGTGGCCCAGGGAAGCCAAAAGATTGGATACCCTGATTTAGAGGATGTAAGAAGTGTCACTGGGATGTTGCAGTGGTAATACAGATATGAGAAGATATTAGCCTGAAATAATAAAATACCTTGGCAACAAATTGCTTTGGGGGATTAGAAAGAGGGAGAAACCAAGGGTCAAGGATGGAACCATGGTATAGTGAGGCTGTGAGGAGGGCTCACTGTTCCCTGCCCTGAAGGTGTCTGCAGGCCACACTTCTTTTGTTTGCTACTTGCAGAGTTTTCAGTGACTCTTTGTTTCCCATTCCCTCACTCATGCTACCATGACTCAGTCAGCCAATTCATTGTCTATAGTCTATGCCCTTGAGAAGCTTGCCGACGATTAAATAAGTGATTAGAAAACAATGCCAGATTACATCAGCATTTTAGGGTGGAAGCACGGAGAATCTAAAGGGTTTGCATGCTCTGAAACCTACTTTGGGTTCCATGTTCAGAAGAAAGGAAGGAAAAAACACAATGCAAAATGCAACTTTCCTGATGGCTGAATTCACATTTGTATGACAGAATCACAAAACATCTTGTCGACAAATTCTCCTAGGAGTTCTAGATACAAATTCTCAATTTCTTTCTAAAAATCTTGATAGAATGTTCTTCAGAAAATCAGACTTAGCATTTCCAGAAACATGTTATGAACTTTTCTTCTGTATCTCCATTCTTGGTGAATAGTGTTACCATTTATTGTCACTCAAGTTAAAAGCTTCAAAGACAAACATAATTTTTACTCCCTCACTGTACATGCCCCTTCTTAATTCCAAATTGAGCAGGGAGACTTGCCAAGTCAATATACAAAATATGTATTACTATCCCCACTGCCCTGGTTCAAACTGGCATAAAAGAACATGCCACAGTTGTCCAATGGTCTCTCAGAGTCGACTTCATTTTTTACACCCTTATCATGGTACTTCTTTAGTAAGCAGCTTACATTACGTCATGACTGAAAACCATCTGAGGACTCTCCACACCCAAAGTATAAAGTCAAAACTTTTTAACAAAGTTCTTCACAGTTAGGCCCCAAATTATGCTTTTAGTCTCTCTTCCCCTGGACTACGAGCTCCCTTAGGGCAGAGACTATGCTTTATTCATCTTTGTAGACTGAATGTCTAGCATAGTGCCTGACACATAACACTTGCTCAATAAATGTTGAAAGAATAGGGATAAAAATGTGGCTCCCTGCAGGAGGCCCTGGGATTGGTAGGGCAGCTGGTAGAGGAGTACCAGCTGGTGTGCCAATTCCCCAGGCCCCTGCTGGATTAGCAGGCCCTGTCTGAGGAGTTGGGGGCCCGTCCCAGCAGGTAATGACTCCACAGGGAAGAGGCACTGTAGCAGCTGCTGCTGTTGCTGCGACTGCCAGCATTGCTGGAGCCCCAACACAGTACCCACCAGGACGGGGGGCTCCGCCCCCACCTGTCGGGAGAGCAACCCCACCTCCAGGTATTATGGCTCCTCCACGTGGTGTGAGACCACCCATGGGCCCACCAATTGGGCTTCCCCCTGCTCGAGGGACGCCAATAGATATGCCCCCTCCGGGAATGAAACCCCCTCCACCAGGCATTAGAGGTCCACCTCCCCCAGGAATGCGTCCACCAAGACCCTAGCATACTGTTGATCCATCTCAGTCTCTCTCTCCCCAGCAATGTGTCTTCTGAAATTGTGTAGAGTGTTTGTGAGCTTTTTGTCCCCTTGTTCTGCATGAATAATAGCTAATAATAAATTCATAGAGCAATTTAAAAAATGTGGCTCCCAGATATGGATTTACTTCCTTTCAAGTTAAAATAGTCCGTGCTGCATTTTGTTGCAGGCAACATGACGGTGGCACAATGAACCATGGCTTTGCTGATCTCGTGTATCATCATCCTCATGTCCTCATCCCCATGACTGCAGCAAACATCCAGTTGTGCTGATTATGAATAGAACAGGAAAAATTGTAGCTCACCTTCAGAGAGAAGTTTGCACTCACATCCTTAGCAGTTATAAACAAGGCTTAAAAACAGGACTGAGATTATACTAATGATTTGTTTTTAGACTGAGGGCTATATGATTGCTTTGGTAGTAATGATCTCTAATAGAGCTATGTTAATTGGCACCTGGGTAAAAAAAGAAAAATTAATATGGCCTTCAGAGGCAAGAACTGAGGCTCTTCTACATTTAGTAGAATCTTTCAGAGCCTCATTAGAGAGGCACACGCCCTAGAGAGGATGATGAAGACAAAAATTTTGAAGGTTGAAAAAAAATGTGTGTTTGAAGAACAAATGGCAAGGAACATGCATGTGTGTGTGTGAGACAGAGAAAGAGATAGAATGGGAAAGGGTCAGTGAGAGATGTACCAAGTTACAGTATATTTTTTCTCCCATTATAAAAGAAATGTACATTCATGTTAGGTATCTTGAAATAAAGAAAAGAAATGTATGTTTATTTTAGGTAACTTAAAAGAAAAAATCAATAATAATCCCAACATTCAGAATAACAAATGTTAGTGTTTTGGATTATTAACTTCCAGTCTTTTCATATGCTTATATAAACAGTATAACATACTGTTAAAGACTCCAAGCCTCTGTCATCTAAGAGACATAGTTTCAAGTCCCAGTGCAGCCACTTCCTACTTTCTTGATTGAAAGGTTATTTGAAATATTTAAGACTTAACTTTTTTCCAGTAAAATAAGGTTGATACTACTACTACTCCACTAATAATAATAAGAAGAAGAAGTAACACATGGGTTCATTTTTGGGATTAAATAAGATAATATGCAGAGAGTGCTGAGCTTGGTGCCTAGAGCATAGACTAGATACATAATAAGTGTTGGGTAGTTTATTATTTTTATTTTAACAAAATGAATTTTATACTCTGTGTGTGTTTCCTGTAGTTTAATCTCTCCCATATTCTTGATTATTTTCTTAAGATGAATTGCTGGAAGTGGAATTACTAGGTCAAAGGTCATGCATATTTGATGATTCTTGATAGCTGGTACCAAATTGTCCTCCAAATAGGCTGTGCCAATTCATCCGCCCTCTGGCCTCATATGAGAAGTCTCATTTCTCACCCATACCAACAATGGGCATATATGGATATACTTATAGATATATAGATATCTTGCCAATTTAGTTAGCAAAATACCCCGATTTTAATTTGTTTAATAATTTTTAAACATTATAGTGTCATTTGAGGCTACAACTCTCCAGGACTGGTTAAATAGATGAGAAGTGCCCATTATATAATACGCTAAAGAAGCTGGTTTTATCCTACAGAAGATAGGGTCAGAGGGGAAACTTCATGATTGTCTTCAAGGATATAAGGAGGTTTCTGTGAAAGCATTGTTTTCTATGTTATCAGTAGCTAACTAAACAAGAGAAGCTGGGTTTTGATTAAAATAGTTTAAACTTCTCTTGAATGCAAGGGCAGAACAGCACCTTTCAACATGATGGGGTACTGGGAAGGCTCTGAGGAAGATTGTGGGGTCCCTGAAGCTGTAATGACCAGCACAGTCACTTTTTGCCTTTGGTGGGAGATCTAGCTCCCTGAAGGGAATGGGCACACCACCTGATTTCTTTGATCTCTTCCAGTTCTGTGATTCTGTAGTTATTTCAATGGGGCATTGAAAAGATGGATTTATTCCAATGCATCCATCAGGTGACATTTTTGAGCAGATGAATTAAGCTCTGTCTAGAAACTATCTCTCCTGTTACAAGTACAGACACATGCAATGCAGTTCCTGCCATCAGCCATCTTATTAGAAGCAGATTAACAACTAGCAATGATGACAACAGCCTTTTTTAAAAAATAGAACTTTCTGTACTTTTTCTTTTCATGCTCAGGCAGCGTTTTAGGGAAAGGTGTATTTACTATTAAGGATGTTTAATGGCAAAGCACATAATGAAGAAATAAATGAGTGCAAAAATGATTTTTTTTTTTGTTACTGACCAGTCTACTTCAGCTCTTCCCCCTGGATTCTTTCACACAAAGAACACATTGTTATTGGAGCCATTACAGAGCTCCTCGGCTTTGCCAGGCTCTGCGGGGCTCGAGGGAAATGGCTATAGATTGCAGCAGAAAAGTCCATCAGACAGATCACATGTGACCCCACTGTTTCCAGGAAAGAATGCAGTGGAACACTTCAGCTGAATAGACAGATTTTCCAAATGTTTTAAATCAGTTTTGAGACAAAAAGAGGAAGATGCTGAGAAATGGATTTGGCCTATACACATTCGACCATGCAGTGCCCATTCCTCTGGAATGCAGACATTAGGGGCTTTCATGTGGATGGGGCGACCTTCAGGGGGGAAAAAAAACCCCAGCCCACCACAACAATTAAGCAACAATTGAAGAAAAGGAGGCAAGAAAAGATGGCCCTGTGTTAGTACAATAGCTCAGGGGCTTTTCATTTTGGGGCATAAAGGCAGAACAGAGAATGTTGTTTTCTTTTTAAAGCCCTTTTAAAAATGGTAACTGCATCCTGCTCTTGTAGATGTATTACTTATGACATCCCAGTTTTCATCCGTTCATGATTTTACATTAGAGTTAAATCTCTGCAGCTTGAATCTCACGGCTGAGTTAGCCAGAGCCCATAAAATATTGAAACCTTTAGAGCAGCAGCCAGCCAGGTTGAGAGAAGTTCATGTCCAAAGCTGAGCTTTAGATTCTGAGACATCCCAATTGGAGTGTAGTACAGAAAAAAGCACTGATAAAATTTTCATAAAAATGAGCTAAGGATATTGCTAGCATGCTTCTCAGCATCTATATGAAAACTTAATCTGAGCTAATGGAAAGGATATGAAAGCCTTTCTCAATTCAAACATAGTCAATGCATGATTCATAAATTATTGTCAGAGAAGTGATTCAGCTCCAGATTTATTCTCTTTTGGGTAGAAGCAACCCTAGGAAAACTGGTTTTTTATGACCTTTAATGCCAGCAAATTTTACAGTAGAGCTGTCAATATAACCAAGTAAACTGGTCATTTCTCCAAACAGCAACAAAATACTCACATATACCCAGCGCGAGCTAATATTAACTTGGTCTACTAGGTTACTGACAGTACATTCAGAGCAGCAAATACCAAACATCTGCGCTTATCTGGCTATGCAGGACTGAATGAAAGCTGAATGTGGCCACATCCACATCATCCGCAGTAATTTGGGTGAAATGTGGTGCTCAAGCGTCTCTTTGCCTTCACGCCCTTTGGGTGGTGATGACTGTATGGACTCACATAACCCTATAAAGATGGAATTATTATTATTATTATTTTATTATTAGCAGCAACAGCTCAAATTTATAGATAAAGAAAAAGAACTTGGTTTGTGCATTGGATCATAAAAGCAATTGTGTTACATGGAAATTATAGGCATTGTTCAGAATAATGTGAAATAAAGGTAAGTAGGACAGTAAGATGGAAACTCAAATAGTCCTGCTTGTCAGGAAGCCTATTAGAAATGTCCTTTTAATCTCATACTTTTTCATTCATCAGATACACTTCAGCCCCTACAAAATGCTATGCATTGTGGAGAACACAAAAATGAAAATGCAAACCCTGCCTTCAACGAGTTAATAACTTTATGCAGGAGAGCAGTAGAATTTCAAACTTGAAATGTTCTTTAAAACCATTTAGTTTAATGCGTCTCTTCAGAGCTTTAATCTTTTCTATGATACCCCTATGACTATTCAACCAACTGCAATTGAACATCCTTAATAAGAATCTCTACCCCTGGTTGAAAGTGTCATCCTTAGCCAATCTTCCAAGTTAGAAACCTAGAACCAGTTTTGATTCCTTGTTTCTCAAACCCCTGCATTTGGCATCACCATTTGCCACAGTTCATTTGTAGATAACCAGGGTTTCTCTAAACAGTTTTGGCCCCTTCTCTACATTGCCACAGGCTCTGTTCAGGCTTAATTATCTCTCACTAGGACTGTTTCAAGTATTGTCAGAATTTCCCTATGACCTCTTCTTCCTCTAGTTTGTCCTCTATTCGGTCATCATAGTTTCTTTCTAAAACAGACCTGATCATGATACCCATGAATTTTAAAAACCCTTTATGGCCCTTCATTTTTTACAGAATAAATTACAAACTCAAGAGCATGTTATTCAAGGCCTCACAATCTGATTCTGATTGGTCTATTTCAGGCCCAGCTTCATGCAGTCATGTGCTGGTCTACAGCAGTTGTTCTCAACCCTGGATCCACATGAGACAAGAGCCATGTAAGATTTAGTCCTCCTTTCAAAAGGCTTATAATCTAATATGGAACTAAATCGTTATGAAATAAAATATAGGAAAACAGAAAGCAATCTCTCATTAAGTTGATAAATCTATTACATGAAATATGGCCAGAAATTCAGCGATAAAGATAGATATCCCTCTCCTGATATGTGAAAATCAAGGCTATTTCTCACGCTTCTCAAGTATGTGTGTTCAAAGGGCAGGCACAGCTTAATTAATTCTTGAGGCAGAAAGGTACACCCAGATGTTACAATATGATGCTGTTCCATTCTGTTTTCTTGGCCATTGTTGAGCCCTGCAGTGGTCCTGTGTGAATTCTGCTTAAAAGGGACCTGATGGTCATGTATTCCAGGAGTTTTAGGAATATTTGTGCAATTGGGTTATGTTTGGGATAACTGCTACGTGTTCTTTACATTTAAGAACTATGGAGTAATATTCTTAAGATATGAAGAAAATATAAGTAATTATGTCAACTTGAGGTCTTCCTTGTTGAATCCCCTGTAGCCACTGGTAGAAAACGGCTCATAACAA